TTATGCTATAGACTGCCAGCGTTGGTCATGAGGTATCTCATTGAACACCACATCATTAAGTGCTTCCAGTATTAGTATCAGCCCTACCGGTGCTGTCAATTAAAGCTTATGAACGCAAAACAAATTTATTTTAATATTTTATTTCAATTAACAAATATATAATTAAAATACAATTGTTATACATTTATATTATATAAGTTATTATAAATTTATATTGCATAGAAAGTATAATAGTAAATATGCATTCAACGGGGTCAAACATTACTTTTGACTCATTTTACAATAAACGTTAAACTTTGGTAATCTAAACATTTATATTATATAAGTTATTATAAATTTATATTGCATAGAAAGTATAATAGTAAATATGCATTCAACGGGGTCAAACATTACTTTTGACTCATTTTACAATAAACGTTAAACTTTGGTAATCTAACTGAATTTATTATTAATTAAATTAATTTATAAATTATGTTATCATAGAATTAAATAACTATATTAAACACAATATACAAATAGAGACAAAAATAAACAAATATCACGAAAAAATTTATTACACGTTAAAATAAAAGTTATTATAATAACAGCATTTGTCTATCTTTGAGCTTTATTACTTTCAACGTAAAGTTATTGACAAACAAATAAATTACATTTATTCAATTATTAGACAATTAAACAAACAATATCAGCATTGCTGTAACGTTGTTACAATCGGGGGTGGGGGCATCTGGTTGTCTTAGTGTTCTAGTGTATATGGACCATGGCCGTTGCATCTACCTTTCCAAACACCTTTCTTAATTTCGAATGGTGTACACCGTTTAGCTTTATGGGTCCCTTTGCTGCAGTGTTCTCTAAGCTGCTTATCACAAGCTTCTTTGCGAGCGGCACGATCCTTATCGCTATACATCTGACCATGCACCATCGACAACACCAACAACGCGGCCAATACTATCACCATCATGTTATTCATGTTTATTATTATTAATATACTTTTCTGTGTATTGACAAAAAATGGAGACTTAAGTTTATTAAATTGATCACGTATGGTGATTTGCTAATTATAGAACAGATATAATTGTGTAATAAATATATTTTTATTAATATAGTATTTTATCGACCGTGTTAACAAATAGTAGTCTAACCTTATCAAGCCTTTCAAAAACCAAAAACCAGAAATGAGACCATTGATCAGAAATCAAAAACCTTTCAACCTTATCACTGCTAACCGATACGCGCACTCAGTTGTGGGCACAACCAGTTATATCGCACCCGAAGTATATTCCCGTAAATATAACCACAAATTAGACATTTATAGTCTCTTTTTGATTGGCGTTCAATTGTTTGCATTCGATTTGCAATCGTAAGTATTGACACCATTTTAAACAATATTTACTTTTAATATTAAATTTATTGTTGTATTGTTTTAAAGCTCGCTATCATTTGAAGCCAAGGATTCGCTGTTCAAGATTTCAATACGATGTCTATACCAGACATTAGTGGCAATGATATCGACACCCAATTGGAGACAACGGCCTGAGTGTCGGCAAGTGTTGGCCACACATAACGAGTGGTCTATCGATAAGAGTGTTGTCACTAATCATATAGATTTTAATTTAGTATTAAGTAAACTTAAAACTAATAATAATTTAGTTTTCTATGAGTTATTAATGTGTAAAACACAAGCATTTAAAACAGAGACAAAACTAAGTTCTCAAACATCAGTATTAAATAAAACACTATTTAACGAGGGAACATCATTAGATCCCTCTTGTTAAAAAAGAAGTTGTCTTAACTTCGAAAAAATCGATCAAATTTTAATTTAATTTTTATCATGATTAAAGCATATAAAACAAAGATGAAATATATAAAAATTATTATCCTAGGTCAAATTTTATAAAATTTTCAAAATTTTTAAAATTATTTTCTATCCCTCAAATGTGTTTTACATATGTTCTACTATCCATTTTTATGAAAATTAATTTATTGTCAAAAACTCGGTATTAACTAAAAAATCTCAAGAGTTTCTCTTCAGATTCTGTTGTAGAGTTAGTAAAGCTTTAAAAAAACCTTAGTTTAATATTGAGATTCCGTTGATAAAGTTCTCTAATTACTGTTTAAAACTTTTAATAGATGTCTGTCATTCATTATTCATTAGATCCAATCGTATCGTAAAACTGTGTGACTTTGGTTTGGCCACCGATCATAACACCGATGGACGCACTGCCAGCCGATACACGCACTCAGTAGTCGGCACTCTTGCATATATGGCACCCGAAGTGCTTTCATGCAGTGTTTATAACCACTTATCAGACATTTATAGTCTGTCTATAATTGGCCAGAAGTTGGTTGGTATCGATCTTAATGCGTAAGTGTTTTATAAATAATTTAAATAAATATAATTATTATTTTAACATATTTATTGATTAAAGCTCTCAAACATTTGAAGCCAAAGACTCAGTGATTAAGAAACCTTTACTTTGTTTGTCTGAAATACTGGAGAAAATGATGTCAACTCCGCGTTGGAGACAACGGCCTGAGTGTCGGCAAGTGTTGGCCAAACATAACGAGTGGTCAATAGACAAGACTCTTATTATTAATGATAAAGAATTTAATTCAGTGTTAAAAACACTGAAATCTAATGATAATTCAGTCTTCTATGAGATTTTGTTTCGCACAACTAATTAATAGTTCATTATAATTTTTATATTGAGGGTTAATTTAAAATAATCATTAATTATTATTTTATATTAATTTTATCGTGGATACTTATTAAATATTTACATTATGACTTGCAATTGTTGTTATTAGATATTTAATTCAGTGTTAAATAAATTTAAAACAGAATATGAAAAGTTGTTCAATAGTAACGACTCACAGAACTATCTGTTGGTTAAAATTTATAACAAAAATGAATTTTATATTTCCAAATTTCAACATTTTTTCAAAACAAATTTTTAAATGTCATAATCTAATGACACATTTACAGACCAGTACTAGACATCGAGCCGTGTATTTGATGTCCAGCACCGGTAGGGCTAATACTAGATAACAGTTTTTAAGCCCCAATAGTTTTACACAAACAGACCTCAACTCAATGCACTTTATGCTATAGACTGCCAGCGCTGGTCATGAAGTGTATCAATGATAACAACTAATGGCCTGAGAGCTGAATACTTCCAGCATTAGTATCAGCCCTACGGGTGATGTCTACTAAAGCATACAATAAGCCAACAAACTTTTTTTCAATATTTTATTTCATCAACAAAAATATAATTCATTAATGTATAATAAAAATACAATTGTTATACATTTATGATACATTCATTTATGATTGTATATTAGTTGTTATATATAATGCATACAATCTTGTATATTAGTAAATACACATTCACCGACGGCTATCAAACACGTCCTGTGGATTGGGTGCGCAACTGATACCGCTTTCACCATTGCTTTTGGTAGAGGGAACGCAAATTTTGCCCTCATTTTTACAATTTTTGGTTTCTTCCGGGTCACAAGATCTGAGTTCGACGCCGGGCAATAACGCCAACACCAACACCACGCTCAACAATATGATCACCTTGTTCATTTCGTTTGGCCAACTGTTTCACCTTAATGTGGTCTTTATGTGTTTTGCTTGCAATATGGAGTGTTTAGTATTGTATGGAAATGAACGCATATGGTCTTAGTTTGTTAATCAAATTATTCACATTAATTATAATTTACAGTAATATTATTTAGTCGATATCACCGGTAGGGCTGACAATAATGGTGATAGCGCTTAGTTCGCAGTTCATTATGGGTTTTCATTACCAGTGCTCGCAATCAACAGAAATGAGTGCTTTGAGTTGAGATCTATCTGTGATTCTTATGGGCCTTAAAAACTATTGTCTAAATTAGTATTAGCCCGCCCGGTGCTGGACATCAAATACCCCGCTCTGTGTGTAGTACTGGTCTGTAAATGTGTCCACAAATAATTACACATAATAATTATTTTTAAAAGTGTTAAATTTTTTAAATATAAAATTCATATTGTTATAAATTTTAACCAACAGATAGTTCTGTAAGTCGTAAATATTGAACTTTTCATATTCTGTTCAAAAGTTAGTTTTATTTAATTATCACGTAAAAATATAAAACTTTTATTTTTATTATTGATTTATAACAAAAATTAATTAAACTAAATTTATCAATAAAATTTTATAAGCTACTATGTTAATTACTTTATACGTAATTAGTAATTATTGATTTTATTAATAATTGTATAATTTGTAAAAATATTTATAATATTGTCTAAATATTTGTTTTCTATAATATTTAGTATTACAAAAATTTAATAAACTTACTATTTGTTTTAATTATAATTGTAGTTATAATTTATGTTGAAATATAACAGTACGAATGTTTTTGTTATCCATAATAAATTATGATGTTATAAATTAATTATATAGATCAGAAAAATAATGTTCTATAAACATTAAACTTAATCGGGAATATTCTTATGCGGGAATCCCGCCTGGCCATTATCTTGATATGGTCTGATCCAGTAGATCCAGATGATTTATATACCGTGATCAAAATCT